TAATAAGTAGGGTTTGGGGGTTTTGTGTGGGTTTTTTTTTTGTTCAACCTGAACATGTTTGCTTCTTATTGTAGGTAATTCAGATACAAGTTTAAAATTTTATATTTAGCTTTTAACTTCCTATCATTTATTCAACAAATATTTATTGGGCACTACAATTTGGCAGGCACTGTTGTAGGGGTCTGGGATAAAGCAGTGAAAAAGACTGTCCAGGTCCTGCCCTCACGGAGCTGATGGTGTACCACCGGAGACAGCCAATAAATAAATAGGAAAAGCTCCACCCAGCAGGTGCTTGTAAGGGAACAGCTCTGCCATAAGCCCTGTGGACAAGGCCAACTGCAGTCAAACCCAAGTCTCAGATCAACGCCCCATGACCCTCCCAGGAACATGGTAAACAGCTTGTGAGGAGCTGTCCTGAGGCTATTGGTCAGCCACCTCCCAATCTTGAGGGGGCTGCCTAGGAAGGCATTTTCTGGTCCCTCTCCTTGGTTCCCAAGAGGCATGGGACTTCCAACCTTGCACCACTGAGGGTACAACTGAGGGCGATACGATCATCTAGTTGGAGCATGGAGCCAACTCCACCACGACAGGGCAACCTACCACTCTGTCATCTGTCCTCCCTGGTTTGGTGCCATCCTGCAGGGACGGGGGATGCAGGAAGCTGACATCATGCTGGGATCTCGCCTACGCTTTGAAGTAATAAACTCTCTGCATCCACTTTGGGCTTTGTTTCCCCCTTCCCACCCCAATCGATGGCAGAGAGGCAAGTCCCACCTTAGCAGCTATGGAAATAGTTGCCATTTAGGGACTGCCTGGCCACTTGACAGAGCTAAGGACCATGAGGAAAGTAAAACAGAGGTAATGGAGAGAGACTTTGAGGCTATTAGGCAGACCAGGGACAGGTCCACCAAGGTGGATAGGTGAGCTCATCTGGGGGAACAGAGAAATAGGCGGAAGGGACAGCAGTGTGAAGTGAAGTGAGACAGGAGGGGGAGGATAAATGAAGTTAGAGGAGTGGGCGGGCTGATTTACCTGGGTTGGGAAGATCCCCTGGAGAAGGAAATGGCAACCCACTCCAGGATCCTTGCCTGGAAAATCTCATGGACAGAGGAGCCTGGTGGGCTGCAGTCCATGGGGCCGCCAAGAGTTGGGCACGACTGAGTGACTAACATTTACTTACTTACTTTTGCAAGTCTGAGGATAGCTTGAGTTTTCCAGTGTTAAGAAGGCAAGCGATATACAGTTGACGCTTGAACAACACAGAGATTAGAGCCGCTGACCCTTCAAGGTGTCAGTTCCACATGCAGATTCAATGCCCTGCAGGTATTTTTTGTAACACATTGGCGTATAAGTGGTCCATACAGGTGAACATCGTTATTCAAGGGTCAACTGTAATCTGATTTGTATTTTTCCAATGACTATCATCCAAAAAAAGAGAGAAAAAAACACATAAGAATGAAAAAAGGATGTCCCAAACTATGGCAACGCATTCCAGTATTCTTGCCTGGAGAATCCCATGGACAGAGGAGCCTGGTAGGGTCCAGTTCATGGGGTCGCAGAGTTGGACATGACTGAAAGCAGGGGCCTAGCACTCTGGTGAAATAGGCTCAGAGTGCTAGGAGCCTGGTGCTAGGAGCAGCAAGGTGGGGAAGAGATAATCCACCCTTGTATGAGTTTGGCTTGAACTCTGAAACCAGGAGCCACAGGAAGGATTTGAGCCCTATACACACGTACACACAGCCCTATCAAGAAAGACTCACTCTAGGTAAGATTTAAATTAGGATCACTTAGGCTGCTGTGTTGAGAGACTGTGTCTGTTGGTCAGGGGAAAGGGGGACAAGAATGGAAGCTGGAGTCCAAATCAAATCGAATTGGAGGTTACTGCCATAATCCACGGAAGAAATCATGGCCAATTTGTCCGTAGCAGCCTTCCCTCCATGATTTTGGCAACTGAAGCTCAGAGATAGTCTCTTCTGTGAAATGTGCTTAGAATGGATAAAAATAATGTATATAAAGAATTTAGCACAGCATCTGACATATATTAAACCTATTAAATAGTAACTACTGGCTTTGCCAGTTTCATTCCTGAAGCCTCTGCACCTACCTTGAGAACTGCTCTTACAGGTTCTTGTGTCTTTAAAAAATGCAAATACAATCTTATCTCTCTCTACTTAAAAACCCTGAAGTGCCTTAGCCCTGTGGAATGCAGAAAATCTACCTTCCTGGTCACAGCCTACTGGGTGGTCCATGGTCTGGCCTTGACCTTCCTCTCCAATCTCAGGGCCTCCCTCTCTCCTGGCTCGAAGACACTGGTTTTCCTTCTCTCCCTCCAATCCCTCAGATGATTGTCACCATCAGTTCATCTCTTCATGTGGCTGGTTTCTCTTCCATTCAGTTGCAGCTCAACCATGACCTTCCCTAACTGCCTTATCTAACATATGGCATTTATCTCTCACCCACCAGTCCCTAGCACATTGCTGTTTTAGGTCCTTCACAACCTGCCACTATTGGAAATTATTTGGTTTGCTGTCCCTCTCCCCAACTAGAATGAAATCTTTGTGAAACTAGGAACCTTGCCCATCTTTCCCAGGACCTAGCATATTGTAGATGCTCAATGTATTTCTAGGATCTCAAATGCAGGGAAGGACATTACTAGATTAACTTAAGCCTAGCTAAAGACTTAAGGCACTAGCCCAGGTTATCTATAAATCTTTTACACATGGAATTAAAATGGGGACCTACCTATATTTACAGGTATGATTCATAGAATATTATAAGCGTTCACAATATGGGAACTTATGAAGACTTTGACATAATGAATTTTCCAGGCTGCTGAGGTTTTCTTCTTTAAGCACCAACATTTCCCTGGATGGCAACATTCCTAAGACAGTCTGTGTTGCCCTAGCTCCTAAAATCAAGTAAATGAAATTTCATTTTCCCTTCCTTATGAACATTCCTTATTGTAAGAGGTTGAAGTGAAAGAGCAGCCCCGAGGGATTACTGAGGTGTGACATTTATGACCATCTACTCCAATCCTCAATGACTACATGGTCCTGAAACCTGCAGCTTTTTCCTTTTAAATATTCTTCCTCTACTTTGACAGGCTGTTATCCTAAAAATTACTGCTATTCCTTTCAGTATCTCCCCTCCCCTTTCTCATATATGGACTACATCTGATCTGTTGAAAGTTGGTTAAAGAAATAAATCAGAAGAGGAAACAGCTCTGATTCTTTATGATATTGTGCCAACAAGCAGACAGATCTCGGTTTAATCCTTACCACTTACTAGCCGTGCACCTATCTTCTCAAAACATTCATTTTTTTCTCAATGGCAACTCATGTTTCTGGAGCACTTGCTATGCCCCAGGCTGCTGTCCTGTTACACCTGCACAATTCCATCTAACAAATCCTTAGAGTAAGCCTGCAGAAGGACACAACATCATCCCCATTAATCAGTTAAGAAATGTTTCCAAAGTTAAGTAACTCGTCACATAGCTAATAAGGAACGGTCAGTCTAACCCAGAACTCTTAGCTATTCTGCTCCTATTTGTGAAGCACTAGGTATACCTCAGTGACAGACAAAAATTCTTGGCCTCTTTTATTTTATACATAGTAGTTTGAACCTCTGAATCTCCTCCCCCTTATCCTTCTCTGGTCTCTTCACTCTATGTTTGAATAAAAAGAAAAAATTCTTGCCCTCCTTTGGAGCCTACATTCTAGAAAACATGAAAGAGACAAACAGTGAGCAACAAATACAAATATAAATTATACCTCATATTAATAGGTTATGTCACTCAAAATTGCCAATAGGTCAACTATTTAGACCTACACAAATGGTAACTTCATATGGTTCGACATGAGAGAAGGTGGTGGGCTTCCCTGATGGTTCAGATGGTAAAGAACCCGCCTGCCATTGCAGGAGATGTTAAGACACACGGGTTTGATCCCTGGATAAAGATCCCGGAGAAGGAAATGGCAACCCACTTCAGTATTCTTGCCTAGAAAATCCCATGGACGGAGAAGCCTGGTGGGCTACAGTCCATGGGGTCACAAAGAGTCAGACACGATTTAGCAACTAATACAGAGAAGGTGGTAAGTGCACCTGGAAAGACGAGGGTGAGGCAGGTCTGCAGTGGGAGGCAGGATGCAGTGGTGAGTAGGGTGGCCTGGAACAGCTGGTGGGGTGGACGTGGTGAGGAGAGGACTTGGGAGTCATCATCTCCCTGATCTTGGATGCTCACAGGGTAACACGTACCTCAGACTCACGGGTCACAAAGATCAAATGAGATAACAAAAGTGAAAATATTTTGCAAACTAGTAAGTTCTAGGACTATAACACATTATTATTCATTATCATTCAAAGTTCCTGTGGGGAATTACAGAAAACTTTTTAAGGCACAAATATAGCTGGATGGCATACAAGGTTGCTAGTTCATACCTTACCTGGAGCAGAGAAGCAATGAAGAGTTTTGGCTTAAAACTTACCTTCCTGCTCCCAGAAAACAAAAGGTTTTGTTGTTATTCTTTAGTCAATAGAGTATTCTCTACCCAAAGAAGGTAGCAGTCTATGTTTGAAAAGCTGTGGAAGTGAAGGTGAAGTTGTGACTGAAACAATTTAACAGAATTACAAAAGAGAGAGCCAAGTTATATTATTTTTGGTTGCCCCTCTCAGTTTGTGGGATCTTTCTTCCATGACCAGGGATTGAACTTGGGCCCTTGGCAGTGGAAGTGCAGAGTCCTAACCATTAGAATGCCAGAGAATTCCCTAAGCCGTGTTATTTTATCATAGGAAAATATAATAAACTATATACTATGTGTCTAAAATCTAAGGCCTCTGAAGAAGGTCTAGCTCCACCAACCCATTTTAATAGATAATCATTATTTGCTGTGTTTGGTAAAGATTACAATTAAACTATCTACTAAAATTTAACAGACAAGGAAAAGGTAGCCAACGGAAAACTAAACTAGGTTAATTTGTAGAGAAATGACAGGTATGCATAATTTCCTTTAAAGAGACAGCTTTTATTTGAAGGATTTTTACATTGAAGAATTCAAAAAGTGGTAGGTTTTTGGAACTTACTGACCTGTATTGAAAAGGAACTGTTGACAAAGATTCACCAGAAATAATCTGAACAAGCAAGAAAATATAGTTAATACTACTGAAACCTACTAAAAAAGTTCCAGGACATACGGTTTCTCTGACATAACAATACCTCTAAGTGCTGTCATGGATACGAAACTGACTGCTTGCTACCTTTCTAAACACACAGTGGTATAGTTAACAATATTCAATCACTTCTGTTCTTTCCTGAATATATAAAAATTAAAATACCAATTAAAAAACTAATATATTCTTCTCTTTAAATGTTTCTTACAGATACAATTTCCATATTTTCAGTCAATAGTGGTGTGGTTTAAGAGATATTTCATTCACAAGTCAAACAACAATCTACCCAAAGGGAACTGATAGTCTTTAGGCTCATAGTGCAAATGAAGAGTTCGGGAATGCAGCAACTGACATTTCTAAAATACAAAACAGATCAAATTCTTAGGAGATACATGCAATAAGCTCTACTAAGCAGCTGGCCACAGAACGAGAACATCGGATCATGTCACTGGTGATTTCAATGGGACACCAGGTATTTCCAAACTCAACTCGAACTCTCATCTTAGGCTTTGTATTTTGCTTTTCCAGTTTCGCTAATGACACACACATGCTATAAAATAAAAATTGAGAAATTTACATTAGAAAAGCATCATCTGAAGTGAAAGGCAAGAACAATATTTGGCATGTCTTCTATGAATAGTATTATGCTGTGGGGGTTTTAGTGAAACCAACAGAGGTCTGTGTGCCTTCCCCATCTTCCTCACCCATGCTCACAAATGCATTCTCCAGATTCCTGCCTCCAGAGGAGGAGGTGGGTATTTGAAGGAGAGTGACTTAAGAGACTGAAACTAGTTCCTTTCTTTCTTATGACCACATCCATCATCTGAAATAATAATGGGGCGGTTATTGTATATTAAAGCTGTTCAACTGTTGAGCCAGCAAGAAGTGTCACCCTCGCCTGGCCAAGTTCCAGCTCTAAGGACGTCTGTACCTGACTATAGCTTTATGTGACTAATGGGAACCATCAGTCTGCTCGAATTATGAGGTGCTGGAAGGAGAAAACAAGTCTTCCCTTTTGTAAATTTTTATATGGGTTCTGAAAACTGAGAGTGAAGAAAAGAAGCATTACTTACATTCAAGTCCCTGAAGTATTCATTATAGTCAAGGGCATATCCCACAACAAACTTGTCTGGAATTTCAAATCCAACAACTAAAAAGAACCATAATTCATCATTCAGATAGAGAAAACATCACTTTCAAATCTAATATGTGTAAAAATTCTCTAAAGTAACTCTAAACCATTTCATATAAAACTTGTTTGGGTTAAAGATGGTTAAATGATTGACGAAAAGTAATTCACTTACAGTCTGGTCTATATCCAACACTTCGAGGGGTCCTTTTCACCAGCAAGCTGTTAATTATAAAATGTGACATGTGACACATGGAGACACCAGAGGGCATTACAGAAGAGAACATGTGTGTTCTGCAACATGGTTTCATCTGCCGTTTAGCATGCTATGGTCAGTTTTCACAAACTCAAAGAAAGACTATGACATGGACAGCAACATCACAGGGCTCCCTGGGCAGGGGCAGCAATGAGTTCCCACTACAGATGGGGCCCTTGACTGATCTCCACCTGGGACAGAAGGGACTGTTCTGAGAGCTGCCCCCTGAATACCCACATGCCCATCAAAGGGCAGCTCACTGGGAGGATGAATGGGTGGGGAATGCCAATGAGCAAAGATAAGATAAAGGCTCTTAGTCCCAAATCCACAGAAAACAATCCCTAAGCCACAAATAAGTGGCTTACAAAGAGGCACTTTAGCCAAAAAAAAAAAAAAAAAAACTACCACACTAAAGGAGTTGGTATTTACTTTGGAGAGCAGAAACTGCTGGTAGGATGCGGCAACTCTACAAAAGCTAATTTCATAACCCAAATGCTACCTGCAGGATTTTTTCAGCTGTTAAAAAAAAACCTGTAAAGGTGCTTTGAAAGTCTTTACATATGATAAGGACACTCCCAATAAAACTCAAGGTTTCACACCTTCAGAGATAAGTATATTAAAAGGGCTGGAAAGGACCTAAACATTGAATCAACTGGGAACCTTAAAAAATATGTAACAGAACTCAGATACCCAAGCCATACCCCTCACCAATTATATCTGAAGCTCAGGGGAAGGGACTTTTAAGTTCTCAGGTGAGGGACTTCCTTGGTGGTTCAATGGCTGGGACTTCCTGCTCCAAATACAGGGTGTCCGAGTTCGATCTCTGGTCAGGGAACTGAATCCTATGCATCAGAGCTGGGAGTTCACAATGCTACAACTCATGATTCCACATGCTGCAGCTAGGGATCAAGGATCCCAAGTGCCATGGCTAGGACCTGGGGCAGCCAAATAAATTAATTAAATTAATAATTATTAAAGAAAAACTCGCAGGTGATTATAATGTGCAGCCTAAGTTGAGAAGCACTAGCCTAAGCCTTAGCCTCCAAGAGATCATAGCCTAGTAAGTCCTTCCTGATTCTCCTTCCAGTAATGAGAGGAGACACTTGGACTCGGTTTTCATTTAGAAAGAAAATAACAAATCGATCACAGCAAAACCCCTTCCATCTACCTGAACTCATTCAAGAACAATCCAGAAAAAGGTATCATTAAACACAGTGCAAGCTGTACTAAGAGCTCAGGGGAACTCAGTACCTTATGTTCCTTTGGATCTGAATGAAGTAATTGGAAGTTACCAAAAAATGCACAGGGAGGGTGCCTGAGTCCTTTCTCTAGTCTCCTCCAATGAACAATTCACATAATGTGGCACATTACCACAACCAGGACATGGACATTGGTGGACTGACCTTGTCCAGATTTCACAGCTTTACCTGCTCATATTTATATATATGTAGTTCTAGGCAACTGTATCACATGTGTGGATTCCTGTAACCACCACCACAATCAGGATACAGAACTTTCCATCACACATGGCTTTCTCTTGCTACCTCTTTATTTATAGTCACCTCTAAACATCACCTCCTAACCCTTGGCAAACACTAATCTGTTCTCCATTTCTATCACTTGGTCACTTTAAGAGGTTGTATAAATGGAGTTATACAGTATGTACCTTTTTTAAGGTTGGCTTTTATTGGACAGTCCCTTGATCCTCCTCCAAGTCATTGTGTGGATCGGTAGCTTGTTCCTTTTTAGGGCTGAGTGGGATTCCATGGTAGGGTGGACCACAGTTTAACCAGTCACCTACCAGAGGACATTTTCGTTCTTTCCAGTTTGGGGCTGTTACAAATACAGCTGCCATGAACATGCACACATGGGTTTTTGTGTGGATGCAAGTTCACATTTCTCTGGGAGAAAAGCCCAGTGTACAGCTGTTGGGAGTTGTATGGCAGATACAGGTTTAGTTTCTTAAGAAACTGCCAAACTGTTTCCCAAAGTGGTTGCAGCATTTGACATGCCTCTCAGTTAATAGGTTTTTAATTTCAAATTAACTTTGAAGTTAAAAAGCTTTCTAGTCATTCTTAACCCTGCTCTGAATAAAAACAATAAGCTTTATGTTTCCTCTCTCTATGCATAAAGCACAGACACACATACACTACACAAACAAATGCACAACATATCTGTGATGTTAAAATGTAATGGCAAGGAAGAGATTAAGAAAAAAAAGGTTGAAAAACAACTGACTTGGGTCAAGTCCATCACTAAGAAATGACCTAGGTATTCTTTGAATACTTCGCACCTCCAGCAACAAGAAATACCTCTCTCATGAAGCAGTCTTTCTCAGTTTCTCAGCATATTCCAGGAAAGAGGCACAAAAGAATATCTAGAGAAGTACATACCATGGTAGGTTGACATTTAAAACCCTAAAAGCATGTAGAGAAATAAGCAAGTGCACTGATTGGTTTACAGGAAATTGCTTAGAGCACTAGAATGCATCATTTCTACACTTCCATCATGCCTGTCCCAAAATCTGATGATAAATTTGCACCAGCTATCAGAAAAGCCCCAAAGGACAAACTGCAGACATATGACTCAGTGGAAGGCTTACTCTGACTCAAATATGTTCAACAAATACTTTGTTCCTCTAAGAGAGGTTTATAAAAACCAGGTAATCATTTAGGAGAAAAAAGGCAGATCACTATCTGACCCCTACATAAAAATTGCAGATTGGTCAAATTTTAAAAAAAATAAGGAAAAAAAATCCACACAGGAATGTCAGTCGACAAAACACTTAAATAGTACAGCATAAACTCAGCCAGGTTTCTAGGTTCAAATCTCACCCTTACAGTGATCCAGCTCTGTGCTTTTTGGATAATTCCCTATGCCTTGCTACCCAAATCCGTGAAGTGGGACTAACAATTGTCGGGGGTGGGGGGTGGGTGGTGAGACCATAATTAGGGATAAAATGAACACAGGCAGAATAAAGTAAAAGCCAGACAGCATAGGTAGGACCAGGAGGTGAGGCTGATTCAGAAGAAAGGAGGCAGGCACTGTCCACTTTCAGTGTAGTCACAAAACAAGATGCAATACACAGGACCACTCCATCAATCAATTGCAGGAGCTAAGGAGCTTCAGGGCCTACCGTTTCCCGCCACCTTCTAACTTGTCTTTAGGATCCTTGGTCTCAATTTTGCTAAGTGGCCCCAAATCCTCTGCCATGCTACCCTGGGCAAGTTGGTATCATTATTATATTGTTGAAAAACCAAACATTAATAACATAAGACAACAAGGCAACTGCAATGAAAGTCTTTAAAAGGTGACGAATGATTTATAAGAACGTTTACTGAATCCTATTTGAGATTATATTACTTTTTGAAGATAAAACTAGAGTTGAGAAAATTTACCCTTACAAAGAAGCAAGCACTCTTTTTTCAAATGAAGTAGCTTATGTCAAAATGTTATATACATACCTTGCAACCTTGACCATCTTTGGTTTATGCTTCTTGACCAAGGAAAGCAAAGTTTGCATTGTCTTCCCAGTGTCAATTATATCCTTTAAAAACAAAGAAAAGATATTTAAATGGCAAATAAAACCATCACAGCTTTAAATTCAGTCATTATACGAACACACACAGAAAAAGCAAAATCCCATGTATAACTGGAATAATGCCATTTTTTTCAGTGCAGTTATTCTCACCACAATTCATACTGAGATATTCTGGAATCTGAAAATCAGTTGGCTCTCAGCAAGCAGTAGGAACGCCAGTCCTCAGGGCTGGATTTTATAGGCACCAAGAGGTCAATGACAGCTAGTTTAAATATATATGCAAGTATGTACATACATATTTTATTAGAGAGCTGTGGTGCTGCCCTTCATTTTAAGAGATTAGATATTTTTTCATAAATTCAAGATGAGGATGCTCTCCTTCCAACTCTTAGACGCAGGTGGTTAAAAGACCACACTGAGAAACACTGTTTTATATCATCTTAAAAGTATCCAAGGGACTTCCCTGGTGGTCCAGTGGCTAAGACTCCACATTCCCAATGCAGGGGCCTGGGTTCCATCCCTGGTGAGGGAACTAGATCCTGCATGCCGCAACTTAAGATCCCGCATGCCACCACTAAGACCAGGTACAGCCAAGTAAATAAAGACTAAAAAAAAAGTATCCAAAATATTAAGATTTTACCATATAGAATGACTTAGTCAAAAGTAGGACATTATTCCAAAGAAACCCATCTCTAATTGGGAAAATATTTCTTCAACCATAACCCTAACGTTCTTCAGTGAAAATATTCTCTACAGACGGTCTAAAGCAGTGCTCACAAAATGAAGCTGTAAGTCATCAGAAACACCAGGGCTGGGGATTTGTGAAAAATACAGATTTCTGGGCTGTGGCAGACAGACTGTGACTCCCGCCTCCTAGTGGACACATCGAGAATAATCCCCTGCTCCCTGAGCGTGAGCAGGACTTGTGAAATGATGGAGTAGTCATTAGGTTGTGTTACACAAAATGGCTGGGGCAGCCTGGAGAGAGATTCGGCTGGTTTTAAAGAAGTCAGCTGCCATGTGAGAGGGCCATGTGCCAGGACATGAGGACAGCCTAGCAAGAAAATGGGGCTCCCAGTCTTGAAACCACAGGAACGATGGGACGATGCCAACGATGGGAATGAATTTGGAAGAGAGTACCAGAGTACCATGAACCACAGGTGAGATCAGAGTCCCAGCCTTGATTCAGCCTGATGAGACCCGGGGCAGAGGACTCAGCTACCCTGAACTGGGGCTCCTGATCCCTGAAACCTGAGATAATAAATGTGTGCTGTTTTAAGCTGCTTAGTTTGTAGTAATTTCTTAAGTGGCATTACCCTAGACAAAATGAATCAATCTGAAGTGGATTAGTGAATCTGCATTTTAAAAAAGCAACCAGTTCCCAGGGATACTCATGTACACAAACCCTTTGGAAACAGTCTTACTTGTTTATTTTTTTAATCTATAAGCTAAAATCTAAGAACAGTGATAACAATAAAAAAAATGAATTAGGGGTTACTAGCAGCTCAGATGGTAAAGAATCCGCCTGTAATGCGGGAGGCCTGAGTTCGACCCCTGGGTCGGGAAGATCCCCTGGAGAAAGAAATGGCAACCCACTCCAGTATTCTTGCCAGGAGAATCTCCATGGACTGTAGCCCACCAGGCTCCTCTGTCCATGGGGCTGCAAAGAGTCGGACATGCCTGAGCAACTGAGCACGTGCTGCTCTTAAGCCTTACACCATTTTACATAAAAGAGTGAGAATTTTTTCTATATAGTACTTTGATGAGTCATTTGGCAATAACAGTCAAATTGAAAATGTACTAATTCTACAACCAAGTCATCCCACTTCTAAGTGCCTGCAACCAGAGAGAACTCAAACACATGCACACAGGACATCGCAAAAGGATGCTCTTAGCAATCATGTGGAAGTAGGAAAAATTGGAAGCAAACTCCTTATTTGTACGGCAACAAATAGGTTGATTCATACACTGCAATGTTATGATGGATTTTAAGGTCAAGTAACTCTATATGTCTCAACATGAATAACCTCAAAACCAATAAAACAGAATAATAAGTTGCAAGAGAAAACATATAGAGACTATGGGCTTCCCTGATAGTTCAGTTGGTAAAGAATCCACCTGCAATGCAGGAGATCCCGGGGTCAGGAAGATCCACTGGAGAAGGCATAGGCTATCTACTCTAGTATTCTTGGGCTTCCCTTGTGGCTCAGCTGGTAAAGAATCTGCCTGCAATGCAGGAGACCTGGGTTCGATCCCTGGGTCGAGAAGATCCCCTGGAGAAGGTAAAGGTTACCCAATCCAGTATTCTGGCCTGGAGAATTTCATAGACTGTACAGTCCATGGGGTCACAAAGAGTCGGACACAACTGAGTGACTTTCACATGTAAATTATCAAAAGATATGCTGTGTATATGATTATATATAAGCAACAGAAGCATAAAAACATGGATGGGAATGATATATGTAACTTTAAAAGAAATTTCAAAATTCCAAGCCAAAAAGAGAGGGGTAAAATATATACCATGTTTCCACTAAAAATGGAAAAAAAAAATAAATAAAAAAAAATAAAGTAAATGCAGTTAATACACCCAGAAAATAAATAAATAAATAAATAAATAAATAAATAAATAAATAAATGACTAAATACTTCCTACAAACAATCTCATTCCCTATAACACAAGCTCATCACTAAGACTGATGAAAAGGAATTTCTTTCCCTAGGTTACCTTTAGGACTGCATATACCAAGTTAGAAAATCATAAACACCAAATTAAAAATATGCCAAACTTACTTCGACAATCAAGACATTCTGGAAGAAAAAGAGAAATGAAAATCAGTACAATGAATCAGACAGTGTTTCCAATTATAGTTTAAGTCACATCATAACAAACTCTAAGGATTTCTCCAAATTCTTGTTTTAACCTACTTTATCAAACCCTGATTTAAACAAATGGGCCATCTGTTGAGATTTGGAACTCTTCAATATAAAATTTTCACTGCAATGGAATTTTTAAAATAAAATTTGACCCATACGTTCAATTATTTAAAAGAGTTTCCATTACTTAAACAGAATAATCTTAGGCAAGTTGAAAAATTTCTCTGGGCCTCAGTTTCCCATGTAGAAATACACTAATGTGTATTCTAACTCTAACATTCAAAAACTATAATTTGTACAGTAACTCCAAAATCATGCATTTAACTTACCATATGGAATCCTATTAAAACTCCCATTTTCTTGGTAGGCTGAAATTGACCTGCATGTGCTCATATTCTTGGACTAAACTAAAAAAAGATACCAAAGCTTCCTGTTACCATAAACCCTTATCTCAATTTCTACCTCTCAGAATTTTATAGCTGAAAGAACCCTTAGAGGAAATACTGCCTTAGCTGTCTAAGGTAGAGAAGAGTCCTATCTATTCTTGAGAATGAGGTAGCATTTCACATACTGATTATAATCAGTCATAAGAAGACTCATGTTATTTATTTGTAGTTCTCATTTCTGTCACATACCTATAGCATCAGGTTTGATGTTCTCTATACTTTTCTAAGTCAGTGGTTATCAAGGGAGGTTTGAAAGAAACATTAGAAATTTTTTAAACCTCATCTTATTTAATCTATAATTTTATAATTACATAATTAATTACATAATTTTATATGTATTTTATAAGGTACATTATATTATTACAATAGTTCATATATAATACTCTCTTCCTCATAAAACAACTAATTTCTCTCTTCTCAAAAGATACTGTAACCTAAATCTTTAGGAAAACTGAATACACAGTTGACCCTTGAACGACAAGGAGGCGAGGGACACCAACCTTCCACACACTTGAAAACCATGTATACTTTTACAGTCGGCCCTCCATATCCACAGTTCCTCCATATTCACAGTCAACCAACTACAGATTGTGTAGTAGTGTAGTATGGATTGATGGAAAACAATGCATATGAGTGGACTCACACAGTTCAAACCCATGTTGTTCAAGGGCCAACTGCAATCAATTAGTGAACCAATAATTGTTTCACCACCCACCATGTGGTTTTCTCAGCATTTTTCCAAGCCCAGCTAGCACATCTGAAGGATAATATTTTCCCATCGGTAACTTTGGCTCACTGATGTGGCAATCAGAACCATGGGATGGAGTTATAGTTTGAAAACAGCATTGAATTATGAGACAGGGAAACTGGAGTCTAGCCTTGGCTCTAATACTAAGTAGCTGCAAATGCTGGTCTAAATCATAATCAAAGACTTTTACTACTATGAGACAGTTTACACAAATCAAAGTCTAGAGAGAGTAAATATTTGCCACACAAAATTATAGTATCCAGAGTATGGTATCATTACTGTTTAAAAAATAAAAGAATGAGAATTGCTACCATTATTGAGAGTTTATTTTATATCAAATAGCTACCTCTTTACTTAATAAATGAAAAAAAAATGAGGCTCAGAGGTCAAATGATTTGCTTAAAGTTATAAAAATAGTCAAGTGGATAGACTTGAAGAGAGGTTTTCAGGGTTCAAAGCCCATATTCTCAGCTACTAACTGGAAAAAAAGGGAAAACTACTCATAGAGACAAATTGAAATAGAAAGTCTAAATAATCTATAATCTCACCACTAACAAATAACTTCACCCAACTTCTGCATCTTGATTTTTTTCCACAATAAATGAGCTTGCTCTAAGTTATTTCAGAAGCAAAGAACTTGTAAGATCACAGAGCTATGCAGTGGAACAGCCATTAGGTGGGAAAGGCAAGGTCGAATGGAATCAGAAAGCTTTGAAGGCTAGGTCCCTTCCAGCACTAAAAACTGATTCTAGGAGTAAGGGCTTCAAATGACTTCTAAATATGGACAAAGCATGCTAAAAGGGAAGAAGGATATGTCTGGCAGAAAGGGAGAAGAGTCAACAAATTACAATTTCTCCTTTGAAGTTTTCAAAAGATGTTGAGGAAGACAACATTAGTTTGGCATGACCCTGATATGGGACCACAGAATTTGACACAAGTGTCGTATCTTAAAATTGCCTTACAGATACTCAGTCATGTAAGTAAGCTATAAACATTAAAATCTAAAAACCAGAGGAATAAAAGAGCTTTGGAGCTAGACAGACCTAAATTTAAATTCAAGTTCTATCATTTGCCAGCTTCCCTGGTGGCTCAGGTGGTAAAGAATCTGCCTGCAATGCAGGAGACCTGGGTTCAATCCCTCGGTTGGGAAGATCTCCTGGAGAAGGGAATGGCAGTCCACTCCACTATTCTTGCTTGGAGAATCCCATGGACAGACTATGGGGTCGCAAAGAGTCGGACATGACCGAGCAACTAACACTTGAACTTTCTTTCACTCTGCTGGCAGAGTGACTTTGGACAAGTCCTTCAACCTTTCTGAGTCTTAAGTTTCTTGATCTATAAAATGAGAATGATAATATCTACCTCACAGGATTCTTGTGAAACTTTTATAAGTTTATGCCTTTATATTTGGTACTGTGTCTATCAGCAAAAAAAATTAAAATAAAACAACTGGCAGCTGAAAAAGAAATCATAGCATTCCATCATTTATCACTGGTTACTCAAAAATCATTTCAGTGTATCAGAAGAATAATATTCAAATATTTTAATAGCTCTATTATCTCAGCTAAACATCTATACTGGAAGATTTCTGATGTATTTAAAACTCTTTTTGTGATTCCTTAAAATAATAGTATATCTGAAGTGTTTGAACTACCAGACACTGCTGAAAGAGTTCTACACGATTATTACCACTTGACCCTTTTAACTCTCTGAGGTGGTTGCCAGTATCATCCCACCATACATTCGGGAGACAGAGAAGTTAAAGAACCTGCCCAAGGTCACGCAGTTAGGAAGCACTGAGTCAAGCATTGAATCGAAGTTCTCCAGCTCCAGAACCCACACTTTTAGTCACTACATTATACTGTTTATCTTTTAAGAAACTACGTGTGATCTATTTTTAAAAAGGAGGCTTTTCCCTTCATATATTCTTTTGAAGGATCCCAAATTAGATCCCCACAGAAGCACACCAACAGTACTTGGCAACAAGAGATTTGAAGTTTAACGTTGGATTCTGTGGCCTCTTTGCTATATGACCTAGCTTAGATGCCTAACTTAGATTGTTTCCAAGGGCTAAATAACTTGTGTTTGAGTACATAAATAACTACCTAAACTGTCTCTTGGTGATGGATTGAAAGCACAGTATGACTCTTGGTATGGAGTGTTCTTTCCTTCTCCCTCAAGATACATACCTTTCCCTAAGAGGAAGTTTATCTGTGAGCTTGCCTCAAGAAATGAGAAAAACATCAAATAAACAACCTAACCTTACACCTAAGAGAACCAGAAAAAAAACAACAAGATACATACCTTTCCAGTTAAAGTTGAGAGATCATCTCCACCAATTACTTTTATCTCGCCTGTTGACTGGTCGTTCTAATTTTAAAAACAAAGATATAAAGATCCTTCAATATATACACACACATTTCAAGTTATCAAATGGGAACTAGGAGACTTAAGAAGTTAGCTATCTCATGTCACAGCATTATGATACTCTAAGAATTATATTTCTAGAAATGAATGACAAAAAATTAAGAAGTTCTAATTGGCCATTACTGATTTGATGCTTTGAACAGTCCCCAAAATGGGGCACACGCATTCTCGAGTGGGCAGTATTAGAGCAGCCACCCATCTTCAGTCTCAGGAATTTCTGAACCATGAAAGAATTTATTAGCATGACAGGTGTCTGGTTCTAGCCCTGAACCATTCCCATGAGTCAATCAAACTGTAGAGTCTGGTCTATATCACACTCAACTCCAAAGATATCTCCCTCAAACATCTAGCTGAGGCCCAGGCCATCTTCAGCACAGTCTGGGAAATCAGGTCTGATCAGTAGTCCTTTAAAGCATACCTCTTCGGCTCCCAGTTTTCTGTTATCACAGAATCTAGTAGAAACCATTAAAGGAGTTTCAAAAAGGAATGCTCCACACCCACTCTAGCTGGTGGTGATAATGATTGTAATTCAGCTGTGCTGGATTCAAGACAGAAAACTAGTGAAAGAACAGTGAATGAAAGAGCTTAGACTTGCCCTACCAGAGAGCAAACCATACCAAAGTTCTGCCAATTACAATGGTGCTGGACCAGCACAGTAATAGACAAAGAGATCAAGGAACAGAATGGAGCCCAGAAACAGACCCAGAAATATATGAGGATTTAGTACGTGATAAAGATGGTTATTTCAAGTCAATAAGAAAAAGATGAATTATTCAATAAACGGTGTTTCATCAACTAGCAATCCATTTGGGAAAAAAATAATGTATGATCCCTACCTCATAGCACACACAAAAATAAATTCCAGATGGATTACAATCAAAACATAAAAAATAAAGCCATAAGCAGACCAGAAGAAAGCGCAGAATATTTTCACATTCTCAACAAAAATTGGAGACAACCAACATGTCTATTAACAGAGAATTATTTAAATTAAGTTCATCCACACAGTGTAATAGTGTGCAGCTATTAAAAAGAATCTGACAATCTGTACATACTGTCATGAAAAACAGTAACTAAAACACCAAGCTGTAGAGCAATGTGCTGCCTATGAAGCCATTTCTGTTCAGCATTTTTAAAAAGCTTATAGCTGCAATGACCTCTGAGCAGTGACAAGGGATAAGAAGACTTTCTACTTTTATATGTAGGAATACTTCAGAGATATTTTGGGTTTGGTTCCAGACTACCATGGTAACATGAATGTCGCAATAAAGTAAGTCACACACATTTTTTGGTTTCTCAATGGACATAAAAGTTATGTTTACACTGTACTGTAGTCTATGAAGTGTGAAACAGCATTATGTCTGAAAAACAATGTACATCCCTTAATTTAAAACTACTTTATTGCTAGAAAATGTTATCATTTATATGTGGAATCTTTAAAAATGGTACAAATGAACTTGTTTACAAAACAGAAATAGAATCAAAGATGTAGAAAACAACTTAGGGTTACCAGGGGTAAGGGGGGAGAGGGATACATGGGGAGATTAGGATTGACATATGCACGCTACTATAGATAAAACAGATAATAAGGACCTACTGTGTGTAGTGCAGGGAACTCCACTCAATACTCTATAATGGCCTCTATGTGAAAAGACTGAAAAAAAAATGGAGATATGCCTATGTGGGGCTTCCCAGGTGGTGCTAGTGGTAAAGAACCCGCCTGGTAGACAAGATGCAGGTTCAGAAATTTGCCCCGGAGGGCGTGGCAACCCACTCCAGTATTCTTGCTTGGAGAATCCCATGGACAAGGGAGCTTGGCGGGCTACAGTCCATAGGGTTGCAAAGAGTCAGACATGACTGAAGCAACCTAGCAGGCACGCACGCATATGCGTATATGTATAACTGACTCACTGCCATACACCTGAAACCAACACAACATTGTAAATCAACTATATTCCAATAAAAATTAATTAAAAAGAAAATAAAATAGTGACAGAAAACACTGTGGAGGACGCAGAGAAACTGGATCATTTATACTTTATGTGAGTGTAGAATGGTACAGGCACTCTGGAAATCAGCAGTTTCTTTAAAAATAAAACATGAAACTGGTACAACCTTGCCCAAAATATACATAAATAAAAATTCTAACCATCATCGGAGTCTTCAGTGAGTCTTAATCTTTTTGTAATGGTAACATCAAAGATCACTAATCACAGATCACCATAACAAATATAATAATAATGAAAACTTGAACTATTGTGTGAATTACCAAAATGTAATTCACAGATGCAAAGAGTGCAAAAGTGTTGCTGGAAAAATGGCATCAATAGACTTGCTTGACACAGAACTGCCAAAAACCTTCAATTTATTTTTTAAAATGCACTATAAAATGAAGCACAGTAAAACAAGGTGTGCCTGAATGCTTCTATATACATGTCCATATTTGATGGAATATTATTTTTGAAAAACACAAATGGGCCAACAGAACAGTGATGCAAACTAATATAAGATACATAAGTATGACTTCCAATATCAAAAAACCCTTGCATATCACTTCTCATCTCCACCTCTTATTCTAACTAACTAAAAACCTAGAGTTTCAAACACATACTAGAAAACAAAGTGTATAAAACCTGAAGCTTTCAACAAGCACAACAAACCAAGGTAAACAGCGACATCTTCTGTTGAAATTTGGTATTACACTCCGACTTCAATTGACCCTTTTGTACAGAGGAAAGATCTGAGAACTGAAAAGTATGGAAAGTATGAAATCATGGGGAAAAAGCCTGTGATCTAAAGGCGATGGTAATAGGGAGACAGACAAGAGAACTCCAAGTATGCAAGACACTGCTGCTCTGGTAGATCTAAATCTCCATATTTGTGTTTGCCCCAAGGGTTTTTGCTTCTAAGGCTTCTTTGATGAAAACACAGACAACTTTTAAAATGCAGGCTGAAACAGAACATTCATTTAAGAAAAATGTTACAGTCCACTGTGTAGGAATACAGGTACATGTTCCCAAACCGCATACAAACGACAACCATGAATCCATTGCCCCACCAGAGGACTTTCCCTCACTTCCTCCATTCCCGTCTAGGACAAGGTTCCCACTGTCTCCCTGCTGCATTTCATTACTGAGTGACTCTCAAGTACTTCATCCTTCTTGAGATGATGGTACTGGCATGGGAGAGCCCAATCTGTCCTTAACTCAGAATGTCACTGTCCACTACATAGAATTCCCAGAGAAGTTCTTTGGGTTTACAGATACATACCCTTAGTGTCTGTGTTTCCATTTTATCAAACTTCCTTTCTTTTTAAAAAATATTATTTATGTGGCTGCACCAGGTCTTAGCTGTGGCATGGAGCTCTTAGTTGCAGCATGTCGGATCTAGTTCCCTGACCAGGGATCGAACCCAGGCCCCCTGCATTGGGAGTGCAGAGTCTTAGCCACTGGACCCCTAGGGAAATCCCTCAATTTTTTAAAAAATTAAATTTGTGGTTTCATGGGGCCAAACGTGACTACTTCCTTCATGTCCTATGAGTCAGGGTGCTTGTATAAAACCTAAGCTGCGCAACAAGGACTACATCAAAGTAAAAATCCGCAGGCAAGGATGAGAAAGTACACTTTTGACCTTTCTGTTAGAGTTTCTTCATACCGTGGACAGTACATACCCCCATTCCTGCCAATTTAAACTGAACAAATTCTTTCCCCCTTCATTGTCCAATGGTCTTAGTTCAATAAACAGGAGAAAGGCATAAATCACTTCACTTGCTTTATATATATATATAAATAGATTTACAGAAGATAAGCTTTAGACCACATCAAAGTGGTACTTTACATTTAAACTTCAACTGTTCTGGAGAAAAAAGCATACCTTAAAGCAATTGACTAAATACATACAGATTGAAAGCTACTGACCTCTTCTTACAAGAGACACTTTAAGAAACTACTCCAATACTTTCTGCATTTTTCTTTAACAAACTCACTCAAAAAGCCAGCTTCTTACAAATAACAAATCGCTGTAAGTAATTTGCGCCTTTCATGTATTAAACAGTTGGCCTAATCAAGCTACTAATCAAGTGACCTCCAAGATTAAGACTGAAACTTACAGCTTTATGAATCTTGATTATAATTGAGGAAAAATCCCATAATTGGCAAAATGAATTGTCTTTGCATGCAAAACTGATGAAGAAATAATAGGAAGCCCATATCAGAGGATCCAAGTCAGTTAAAAAGTTTTCCCAAGTAAGACTCTTCTGAAAAGAATTAAAGGCCTGGGTTCAAATCAAAGGCCTGCATGAGCTTGGGTAAGTCACTTAATCCCTCTGCCCCTCATTGTTCTCAAATATGTTGTTGTTGTTGTTTAGTTGTGTCCAACTCTTTTGCGACCCCATGGACTGTAGCCTGCCAGGTTCCTCTGTCCATGGGATTTCTCAGGCAAGAATACTGGGGTGGGTTGCCATTTCCTTCTCCAGGGGATCTTCCTGACCCAGGGATCGAACCCGGGTCTCCTGTGTTGGCAGGTGGATTCTTTCCCACTGAGCCACCAGCAAAGCCCTGAGATAATTCCTAACTCAAAAAAGTTTTCTGCAAGATTTAAAATCCTAAGAACAATTTCATTTTAAGGTAAGCCATTTAGTCTGAACACATCATAAATCAGGCTAATTTTTCCTTTGATTACGGCCCACACAAAATTTACTCATCTGACAACTTTCCCTCATGAGGCTTTGTTCTTTTTTTTAAAAAAAGTATTTAGTTTTAATTAGAAGGTAATTGCTTTACAATGTTGTGTGGGTCTGTGCTGTACATCAACATGAATCAGCCATAGGTATACATACGTCCCCTCCCACTTCCCAGCCCATCCACTCCTCCAAGTTCTCACAGAGCACCTGATTTGAGCTCCCAGCATCACACAGCAAATTCCCACTGGCTCTCTATTCTACATATGGTTATTTCTATGTTTCCATGCTACTCTCTCAATTCGTCCCACCCTCTCTCCTTCCCCCGCTGTGTCCACAAATCTGTTCTCTATGTCTGCGTCTCCACTCCTGCCCTACAAATAGGTTCATTAGTACCATTTTTCTATATTCCATATATATGTTAATACATGATACTTGTTTTTCTCTTTCTGACCTACTTCATTCTGTATAACAAGGTCTAGATTTATCCACTTTACTAGAACTGATTTTATGTCTGACTAATATTCCATTGAATACATGTACCACAACTTCTTTATCCATTCATCTTGTCGGTGGACATCTAGGTTGCTTCCACGCCCCAGCTACTGTAAACGGTGCTGCAATGAACACTGGGGTACATGTGTCCTTTAAAATTGTGGTTTTCTCAGAGTATATGGGAGAAGGCAATGGCACCCCACTCCAGTACTCTTGCCTGGAAAATCCCATGGATGGAAGAGCCTGCTAGGCTGCAGTCCATGGGATCGCAAAGAGTAGGACACGACCGAGCGTCTTCACTTTCACTTTTCACTTTCATGCACTGGAGAAGGAAATGGCAACCCACTCCAGTGTTCTTGCCTGGAGAATCCCGGGGATGGGGGAGCCTGGTGGGCTGCCGTCTATGGGGTCGCACAGAGTCGGACACGACTGAAGCGACTTAGCAGCAGAGTATATGCTCTTGGAGAAGGAAATGGCAACCCACTCCAGTATTCATGCCTAGAAAATGTCATGGGCATAGGAGCCTGGTGGGCTACAGATTAGGGGATCGCAAAAGAGCTGGACATGACTTAGCAACTAAACAACAACAACAAGGTATATGCTCAGTAGTGAGGTTGCTGGGTCATATGGTAGTTTTGGTACTAGTTTTTAAAGAAATTTCCATACTGTTCTCCATAGTGGCTGTCTCATTTTTTTTAATTAAACTATTTTAGTAAAAAAAAAAATACTACAAAATTGAACTCACAATAGAGAAAATACATTTGCACACTCACTGCTTTTTTTAAAATATCATAGATTTTAGTGATAGAAAAGGTCACTGAATATATAACATTTTCTTTTTGAAGGATATAGATACACATCTTAATACCTCCTGAAATTGACACATGACAGTTGCCAGCAACTTACAGCTATAACTGACAGTGTCTTCTTTCTCAGCAGTACAAAAAGTAATGGTAAATCTCAAAATCAAGGCTATCTTAGATTTAAACATGGTATCTGGAATCCCTAGGCAATTTCTCAACTAGGCAGTAAGCAAATAAAAATCTGAAAAGCTAGTCTAAAAGTATGTAAACTATACTATGTGTGTGTATACACAAAAAATTCTTCAAAATATTAAAAGAGGTACTGGAATTTAATTCCTTCATAATTTTTTTATGGTTGTCTGTTCTTTTACAGGTTTTTTCTTTGATCAGAAAAATTTACTTTTCATTCTGAAGAAAAACTACATAGGGTGTGTTAACACTGTTACGGCTGTTCATATATCCGGGAAAATTTAAGAACTCATGGAGCATTTCTTTAGGATAAGTACAGATCAGTTAATGTTTAATTCACTACTTCAAACTGGTGAAGATTACACTAATGTCATTGTTACCAATGCTACAAACAATTTTAAATGTCTATTTTACGATTATATTAAATTGTTTTATAATATGCATATGCAAATATCTTCAACAACAAGTTGATGAATTATTAAAGAGGGTAGAAATGTTACTTCAAATCAACAAAGTATATATGGTTTTCCTAATTTCTATTGTTTAGTAGTAAATCTACACAAAATGTCACATCAAATAGAATAGATAATTTTTTTCTCTATGGGAAAATTTACCTAAATATTTGCTTTAATTATGTTCAAGATTTCAACACTTTTTATCAGTTGAGGAATTCAGCTTAACAATCCTCTAAGATCTAAACTAACAGGAAAAAACTAGCAATTCCTTGGTGGTCCAGTGGTTGGGACTCCACACTTCCACTGCGGGGGCACAAGTTCAGTCTCTGATCAGTGAACTAAAATCCTGCATGCTGTGTGGCGTAGCCAAAAAAAACGGAATTAAAATGTCAATGTTCCTACTGCTTCAAATTGCTCTATGACTATAAATACACTTAAAAAGAAAATATTAAACTCCCTTCATTTTTTAATGAGCTTTCTTTTCAAAGAAAGAACATTCTGCACAAGTCTCCAGAGTAATGAAGTAGAAGTCATAAAGTAACAAAACTGATTTTTATGTGTATGTGTGTGGGCAGGAGGATTCTTAAGAAGATCAAAAAGAGAAATCATGCCCTGGACTGTGAGCCTCTAAGCAACAACATATTAAAGTCAGTTATATTGACTAGAATTAAATCTTAGTGTAAATCAGCAAAACAACTTCTGTTAAGTAAAAATCCAAATTTTGCATTTAAGCAAGTCTTTAATTCAAGCAAGACTTTGACAAGTTAAAAGGAGTTTATAATTACAAAGTAATGTCGTGATATATAAGCACAAAGATTTTTAACAGGATAGGGAAACTGTCTATGATTATACTTAAATAGTTGTCCAATCACTGGCAGGACTGATAAAAATGGGGAAAGGTCAAACACTTGGGTCAAATAGATGATTAACGAAAAGAAAGGAGGCTGAAAGTTAAATGTAGATAAGTGGTCTTTATTTCCAAATGAAGGTGTAAACATAAGGCAAGTTTCTAAAAAGATGCCCTACAATACTGATTTATGAAACAGAAAAAGGTCAGACATTCATCCTAATCCTTGAAGAAGCTAGAGAAAAAATCTATTTAAGGAAAATAGTAACTCTCAGGAATTACAATGCCAACATGCAACCAGAAAAAAGGCAACAGTATGAAGTAATAAAAATCAAAAATACAGATGATGAGATTCACATGAAAAGATGACATGGACTTTGGTTTACCCCACAAACATCAATAATGCTTACTCTGTCAATATTCTGAAGCATTTGAGACTGTGTGACACAAACAGAGCGACTGACTCAAAGGTGGTCTCTCCAATGTGCTAATGTTTGCACTCCGACACGCTTTCTAAGGGTCAACTGCTAAGCCTCCGTATTACTTACAACTAACTCCAAATGCCTAGGGCTCCCTTGCAAGTCAATCTAGCGCCAGAGAGGATATCTGCCACCAGTAAGTAGAGGATCCCCTAAGTCCCAAGAGCAATTCCTCAAGGGGGTTTTAAAACTCCAGAAAACCGAAACTAAGCCAAAAAAACTTTAAAATAAATATAGGCTTTGGGGGAGAATGGATACATGTATATGTATGGCTGAGTCCCTTCACTGTTCAGCTGAAACTACCACAACATTGTTAATGGGCTATACCCTAATACAAAATAAAAAGTTAAAAGTTTGAAAAAAACTAACAAATACTGGCAACTGTATAAGGCAACTAGTTTGAAAAAGACAATATTCACTTGGATACAAAGCACTAGGGAATATATTAGAAAAGCTCAGTAACCATGTAAAATGAACATGTAAGTATAGTTTGAAGAGCTTCAAAACATGCAGGAAAACCTACAGCTGCCATGGGTTTTTTGGTTTTGTTTTTTATTTCAGCAAAACATAATGCTTCACAATAAATTCATGTAGAATCTTAGAATCCATGTAGTTTTGTTTTTATTTATTAATATAGATCAATTTTGATTCTTGTATAAAATTTATAAACAAAAGGAGTTTATGCATAATCAGTTAAAGCTGATACATATAGGATACATATAATAAAAATGCCATGCTATTTTAAACATATATGAAATATACTTACATAGTAGCTCTTCAGTCTGATAAAATCTACAGTCATAGGAATGGATCTGTCACTATTTCTGTTCAGTGCTTTGATGTAATCCAACAGGTCGGCAAAGAACTTATAGCCCCCCTTGAGCACGCAGAGGGCCACGATGTGATGGCCACCCATCTCCTTCATTACATCTCGAGCCAGTCGTTCGGTCCTACAAAAATTAAAATCAATCATTTAATAGAAATTAAATTATGTTATTTAAAAAAAAAATTTTAACTTTATGGGAATTCCCCGGCAGTCCAGTGGTTAGGACTCCATGCTTTCACTGATGAGGGTCTGGATTTGATCCCTGGTAAGGGAACTTAGATCCTGCCAGCCGAGGGAAGTGGACAAACATTTAAAAAAAAAAGGAGGTTGAAGTCAGTAAACCTGTGGCTGATTCATGTTGATGTATGGCAGAAACCAACACAATATTGTAAAGCAATTATCCTTCAATTAAAAATAAATAAGTTCAAAAAAATATGAATAAATAAATAAAATGAACGCATTACAAATGTAAAAAAAAAAGGATTAAGCTTCCACAAAACACATTCTCTACCCCCATGAAGTCTATCTGTGCTCATAAAGCGAAGGTAAAAAATTCAAAAACCTTCAAAATCCGTGTGTACTATAATATCATGAAAATTTTTAAAAAGCAAATTAAAATAAGATACAATTTTCACCTATCAAATTGGCAAATTCTGATAATATTAGAAGAAATGGTGAGGAAAACAGCACTCTCATATACCATTGGGAGTATAAGTTAATGTAACTTTCTGGAGGATACTTTGATAGTATCAAAACATTCAATAAACATCTTCCCCTTGGCCCAAAATTTCCCCATGGATAAAGTTAACTGCCCAAATATCTGTAAAAGGATGTTCCCTTCTAGTATGATCTGTAAAAGCAAAATAATGGAGACATCGTGCATTCACCAATAAGGAACTGGTTATATCAATTATGGTACAGGCAGAAAGTGGAATGCCATGCAACCATTAAATATATTTTAAAGGTTGAGATAGCTCCAGATGTACTAATCTGAAAAAATGTCCAGTAAATTGTAGAGCTATACAACAGCAATACTCATGTGTTAAAATATATGGTATACATACATAGGCAGTGAGTAGGGAAGAAATGTGTACAGGAGACTGAGAGAACTTTACTCTTCATGTTTAAGCGTTGAGAGTTAGAATATTTTAGAATATAGTTATGATAATGATATTATAATCTTAGAATAAAAAAGAACAGCCAGACACACAAGACAAGCATTTAAATAAAGTGAAGTTTTTTTTTTTAGTAAGTAAATTATAAATATTTATTTTGTTGTAACCTTATAAGACAGTGAATGTGGTCAAATCATAGCAAAAAAGTGTAAAACTTAAAATAGTTTTGTTAGAGTCATGGAATTTTAGTTATATTTGTTTTTGCTTTTAAAATTTTCTTGAAAATTATTTACTGGGTTTCTATAAAATTCACTTTCCACCATTTTGAAAAAATTTCTCCCAATTACGGAAAACTTTAAAAAAAAAGGGGGAGGGGGAGAAAAAATATTTTCTCATGTTCCCAGCACATAGGAACTATTACTTTTGACTTTTCAGTGTACAGATGACTCATTTTTCTGTGTACAAGATTTGGTATGTATGTCTTCAATGCATATATAAAATCTATGAGCATCATCACTATAAATGTCTTTCTTAAGTATCTTGAGTCAGGGATCAGTCCAGATTCATTGGAGTCGAAGCTCACACAGCTGAGGAGTGCCTCTTTGGGAGGAAAAAATGAAAAATTGCCAAGATAAAATTAGGTGTTACCCCATGCACTGTAGCCTGCCAGGCTCCTCCCTTCATGGGATTTCTCAGGCAAGGATACTGGAGTGGGTTGCCATTTCCTTCTCCAAAGTGAAGTTTTTCACTGCAATTCATTTAACAGAAAATTTTCAAACTAGTGTGCATAATAATCAAAATATGACCTTGCCTTCCCATAATTGAGCCCCAGTCCATTACCCTGTTCAGGGTTGAGAAATCAGACTTTGTGATTAAAGTTCATTCTTCCAGTTTCCCTTCAATATTTACTTTATTCTACTCCATACAGATTCCCAGTAATACTGGGTTATTCGTAAATTCTCCTCCCCTCCCTTTTTTCTCAAGAGGGCTTCTAAAACAGAAAGCATCAATTATGTGAAAAGCTGGCCTAGTTTATGTTCAAATATCAACTACTTAAAAACAGTTGCTGATACTAGAAATTAATATAAGGAAAGACAAAATTCCAACTTGAGATCATACTAACCTGTCCATAATTAGTCCATGAGGAATAAACACCCTCTCCAAATCCTCAGCATAATGATTGGGTATACAAAATAAATCTAGGTCATAACCTGGTTCATCATCGCTAATCTGAAAAAGAAATACAGCTGTGTTAATGAGAGCATTTCAGGATACAAATATTTGATTGGATTTAGATGTTTAAAAACCTTAGCCTATCACAGAAATTTAGATATTATGAGATATCTTGTGTGTGCTAAGTCGCTTCAGTTGTTTCCAACTCTGTGACTCTATGGACTGTGGCCAAGAACTTTCTGTAACTTCATAGGTATAATGAATTGTAGTTATAGAGGAAATCAACCACATGTTTCAGAGATGAACAGTTAAGATTACAGAAGTAGAATGACATGAAAATTTCTTTAGTTCAGCAGAGAAGAAAAACTTTAAATAGCTAAGACAAATATGAAAAAATCTTGATGATATTATAAACATGGGTTATAAGTATATGGAGATCAATTATACTTTTAATATGCTCTCCACTTTTGCATGCTTGAAAATTTAGTAAAAAATGTTTAATACACTATTGTCTAACAAGTTAAAATATCACAGTGAACAAGAAAAATTGATGTTCCCTAACTCAAATCAAAATAGTCTCATCTCACAGTAGGGAAAAAAAAAACCCACCAAAGAAGCTAAGTGATTCCTTAAAAACCCACGCTTGTATAAGTCTGAGATTGTTCTAATCAACTCATGAGGAGCCTTCATACTAGACACTCTAAGATTGTTTGAGTAAGACCACATATTGGTCATCTTGGTATGTCCAGTTCCTGGAAAATAAAATATTAATAACACTGAGAACGTGGTACCTGTGGTGGTAAAATATGCTATGACTACAGCTTTCTAAATTTTATATATGAACCTATACACACAGAGGACTTCCCAGGTGGTGCTAGTAGTAAAGAACCTGCCTGTCAATGCAGGAGATGTAAGAGACACAGGTTCGATCCCTAGGTCAGGAAGATCCCCTAGAGGAGGAAATGGCAATCCATTCCAGTATTCTTGCCTGGAGAATCCCATGGACATAGGAGCCTGGTGGGCTATAGTCCATAGGGTCACACAGAGTCAGACACAACTGAAGTGATTTAGCATGCATACACACAGAAAAACTATAATAAAAACCACAAAAACCTTTATTTTGGAGAGTGGAGTTATAGCGATTTTATTTAGCTATATATTTCAAATTGTCTTCGATGAGTATATATTGCTTTTTAAAAATTCAAGACCTCATTAATTAGTTGTGGTAGTATGTCTTTTCATATATAATATGAAAAGCATAGGGAAATTTTCTAAGATATATTAAAACCAAATCTATAAACAAAAAAATATAATAGAAATAAAAGACAAGAAAAAAAAAGAAAGGTTGGTATGCAAGAATATACCAAACAATGGTCAACTGTAAGAACTGGGGACCTGCCACCTTCTGCACATTAATCTTGACTTGGGTTTTCATTGTCAATTTCACTTTAAAACAAAAATTATAGTTTTTTATAATTTCTATTCAGCATTATATTTAAAACTTCTTCAGCACCTAACCAGTTAGCTCAATTGGTTAGAGTGGTGCTAATACAGCTTATTCCAAAGACACCAGCCAGAATTATATTTTGTTTCACATTTTATTCAAGACGGAATATCTTCCAAATCACATTCAAGAAGCTGATGACATGAGCTTTGGCAATTGGCAAGAAATATTGGTCAAACCATAATTAAATCTTGCCAAGTCAGTTATTATCTATTGAGCATCTCCTAGCTCTAGTCAGCACTGTGTTAGGTGCTTAAGGACAAGTAGCTTGGTTTTCAATAAATTTTAAAAATATGTCCTTTAAGATGCATCTATTATCCAGAGAATTGATAATTATATTTTAAGAAACTTGAAGTTCATGTCGTCTTTCCTTCAGTCCCCAGAGCTCTGAGTTTTCCAGACTTTGGTGGCGTTTCCAGTGCTGGCATACTGGTAGTAGTTTGCAGCCACCTCCGTCTGGAGCTGTGGCCAGGAGGCTGGCGGGCATTTGGGCAGGTGGATCGGGACATGTCCACGGGCAAGGTCCAGCAGCATGCAGTGCACAGGCGCTCGCTGGGCATGCAGTCTGAAGTCAATATTGGTTTGTTTGAAAAACAAACATGTATTACTTTCATACGCAGGGAGGAAAATCCTATTTTGGGTATGGGAGAAAGATTATGCCAGATCCTCTAGGGTGAAGTGCGAATGTACCCACTCAACATTCACATCAGGCTTATTTCAGAAGACATTACTACAAAAAGAATGGGAATGGGACACCTGGGACACCTACAGGAGTATTTTAAGGGAGTGTTATTTGTATAAAGCTTCATAACAAGCAAGGTATTGCTTTGCTAAATTTTATAAACTGAAACCTAATGAAAGTTTCGGGAAAAGGAGAGGCAGACCTTGCCAGATCCTATGAGAGGATAAACATCCATGTCAGGCTTGTCAGACTAGATCTGCTATTACCTGACAAGAATGAAAATGTACCATTTCAGAGTGCTTTAAAATCAAGATCCGGAGCACCAAAATGGCTTCCCTTCCTCCCAGTTACTCACTGCTCTGTCACAAGCATAAACCAGGACCCACCCAAGACACTTTAAACATGCAACACTCTCACAGAAGACTGCTGCTTCTGTGAAAATGGCTCAGTATCTGGCTATGGGTTTTGCATGCATCCTAAGAACTTCAAGAATCTTGTTTGTCTCCATCAAAGCTGATGTGAATTCTGCCCAGAGTTCATCCCAGACACACAGTCTAACACAGACAGACCAGCAGGGATATACCCCCAAAGAGGAATTCTCTCTGTCAACATGCCGAATTCATTTCCAACTCAGGGAATTCCCTGGCAGTCCAGTGGTTAGGACTCCATGCTTTCACTGCTGAGTGCCCGGATTCGATCCCTGGTCAAGGAACTAAGATCCCTCCAGCTGCGTGGCATGGCCGAAAAATGAAATTCTTAAAAAAAAATTTTCCAGTTCAAAAGGTTTTATTTTCAATCAGTACTATGCGATTTATATATCACATTCAGTGTAAAAGGATTGATTTGTTATTTGAAGCATTAAAAAAATACATCAATGTAACTCTTTCCAAAAGGCAAAAACAAGAATTCATAAAATGTGCATCACTTGAGGTACTTTAGACACAAATTCACAACTTTGCTATAATTCACTATAAATACATGGGGTATATTTATGAGGATCCTAATTTGAAGTACATATGATTTTGTCAGAACTGGGCAGACTACATGAGGGTTCATTATACTAATATGTGTACTTGTGTATGTTGTGAATAAAGTTAAACAATGAGAAATTTATTTTAATAACAAGGCACCAACATCAATTTTTCTCAATTTTACACTTAACAAAAAAAAATCCAAGTTTTAAAAACTTATATTTAATGATCAAATATGAATTAGAATAGCAATTTTTAAAGTGGTGAGGACCTTACTCAGAACCTGTAATTCTCATTACCAATACTCAAATATTTACTGAGTACATACTATGTTGCACATACTAGAGATGATTAGATAAATTTGACACCACTACCCTCAAAGGGCTTATAGTGTAGTAGAAGACATGACATATAAATGAATAACCATAAGACAGTGTTAAACTACTTTAAAAATAAAGATGTATTATGGGAGCTTAAGAGGGTACTGAAACCCACTCATTAGCCTTGCTTCCACCTAGATCACTAATAAGAAGAATTAACATAAAATATAATTCAATAAACAGGAATTTGCTTTTATCATCCCAAACACCAAAGCTTCATATTAAACAGGCCCAATAATCTCCATCCTTAGAAGAGCTAGACAGAAATATACTTGGCGGCCTTTAACTATTAGCCCTTAATTGTTTCATCTGATGTGGGTTATTCGGTTAATGTTGTTGCTCAGTTGGCTCCGACTCTTTGCCACCCCATGGACTGTAGCCCACCAGGCTCCTCTGTCCATGGGATTCTCCACGCAAGAAGTGGGTTGCCATTTCCTCCTCCAGATCATCTTCCCAACCCAGGGATCGAACTAGTGTCTCCTGCGTCTCCTGCATTGGCAGGTGGATTTTTTTTTACCACTGAGCTACCTGGGAATCTCAATATTAATTGGTTAATATCTGATATGAATTAACCCCATCTAATATGGATTAGTTAACAATCCAGTGGGTACTTTGATAGGAAAGGACCATAATATATTTAATTACATAAAAATGCATTCAGCATCCACCTTGATTACAGCACTATGCCCCAGATTTTGCAGGAGGATACAAAGATGATTATAAATTAAGAAACTTCAAAGAGTTTATTATCTAATGGAAAAGACACACATTGAAGCTTATAATCTGTACCATATCTAATTCCACAAGCCCACAAATGTGTGATTATCAAAAGTGCTTATACACACTAAAGATAAATGGAACCCAAGGTCACCTAGCACCAATGACTCCCTCCTAAAGAAATATTAAGCTTAAAGTATATGATAAAGTATTATATTGTTGCCTAAATTGCAAACGCAGTAAATTAGACTGGCATGTCTCTGGCACCGAATTAAAACAGCCTTCTAAATTAACTAGGTGACAGAAATGCCCAACTTCGTATATGAGTATAAATTACATGTTATTATTTGTAGCTTGGTGTTGTGTCTAAGGACAGTGGTGACTACCAACACTTCCTAAAAGAACTGTATTAGACTGCTGTAACAAAAAATTACAGACTGGGTGGCTTAAACAACAGTAACTTATTTCTCACTGTTCTGGAGGCTGTGAAGTCCAAGATCAAGGTGTCAGCAAAGTAGGTTCCATTATGAGGCCTCTTCTGGCTTGTAGGCAGCTATCTTCTCCTAGCTATGAGTGTGTTGGGAAGGGCGGGGCTGGGAACTCTGGCGTCTTTCTTCAAAGGCCAAGGCCCCACCCTCACAACCTTATCTAATCCTAATTACCTTCCCAAGGCCCCATCTCCAAATACCACTGCTTGGGGAGTTGAGGGGGCGGGGCTAAAGCTTCAACATGTGAACTTAAAATGGCTCAAGCTCACAAAGAAGCTTCTGGTGGCTTTGGGAAGGGCCCAACCCCAGAATATTTAGGGGAGAGCTCTGGAGGGGTTGGAAGTGGTAAACCAACGAAAATGTGGTTTCTCTGCAGATACACCTTTCCTACTATGAGTCCCAGTTCAGCCAGAAATGGCCAAAAGATAAGTTATTCATAGCTCTGAGATACTTACCATTTACTCAGTTCAGAAATCTGACTGCATCTCCTCAGAGTTTTAGAATAAACTTAATAATAATATTAGTAAACTATAATAATAATATAATAATAAACTATAATAATAATAAAAATAATAAACTATAATAAAGTTGTTAATGGTAAAATCTACAAGGCACCTTCATTAATATGAAAGATGACTGAAAGATGTAACATTACTAAATATCTTTTGTTTAGGACCAAAGTCAATCTTTTGCTATCATAAATTATCCAAATTATTTTCTTTTCCAGTAAAACTGGAGCCACAAATTCTTAATAATTATATGTGTCACATCTATAATAATGGTTTTCATACATGAGAAATGTGATTTGTACATGTCTAATTACAAAGATATATTATCTAAAATTACAGTAAGCAAGGAAATTAACTAGAACTAAGATAACACGTGCAATATCAATTAATCATCTGTGAGTTGGATGGCTTAGGTCTATTTGTGATCAAAAAATGACAATGTTTATGGGTCTAAACAAGACTAAATGGAAGTGAGGAAGTGAGTTTTAAAATGTGAATTAAAAGGTATATAGTAATAGGTGGCGATAGTGGTAAAGAACCTGTCTGCCAAGGCAGGACATGTAAGAGACAAGAGTTCAGTCTCTGAGTCAGGAAGATCCCCTGCAGGAGGAAATGGCTACCCATTCCAGTACTCTTGCCTGGAGAATACCATGGACAAAGGAGCCTGGCGGACTACAGTCCACAGGGTCACAGAGAGTTGGATGCGACTGAAGCAATTTGGCACGCACACACCAACAATAATTCCAAGATTCTAGAATGGGCAGAAATGACCAGGTGGCATATTTCTACCTTTTATATTCAGACACTTCAAAACTCTCAAAAAACATCAAAGCAGATATCCCTTGGGAGTTTGTGATAACTCAGGGTATCTTAAGACCAAAATTATGAACTATTGATGCATTTATTCCTAAATGTGAAAATAATTTAAGCTAGTAGTCTGTTCATTTTCCAATTTTATATCAGACTTACAAATAAATTACATATATCACTTGCTTGCCCTCCGTCTAATAGGTAAAGAATTAAAAGCCTTACAAGAATCTAAGGCTTAGAAGAATTAAAATCAGCATTCTATTCAACTCAGGGATAAATTATTACCTGCTTCTATGTAAGCAGGCCCATAACTACTATATGTATGTACAAGGACATGCATTTAGCCAACATTATCATCTTTCCTTTCCAGTGTGCACAGCAGAATAATAGGCATGTTAACTCTGGGCAAAATATATGCCTACCAATTATCAGAAGCACAGTGCTAAAGACAGTAGTTCACAGCAATTTAAAACATTTGTTTCAATTCTTATTTGTAGCAAATTTTTCTAAATATTAGAAATCTGGCAGCCACTGGTAGGAAAATAACAATCTAGTCTCAATATTGATATTAACAATGGTGGCTGACAATTTTACAGCATATAAATCTTACAGATGTACATAATATACAATTACAGAGGAAGAAGAGGACACTAGAACATCTTCATCTTTAGCATCTCTTCACAATGGGGGTAAAAATGACATGGCCTAATTACTGCCTAGTGAACTACAGAAAGCTAAAAGAACTCCAAGACCCTTCTTCTCTGCTGATCTGGTTGGTCCTTTTGTCTTTTTCCCACCTCTTGCCTATGGACTTTCTGTGATACCTAGATATAAAAAATGGATAGAAAAAGTTAAGATGAATCTATAGGATGCACGTCACATTAATTAATCAATTTGTAGAATGAAACCACCAAATTCAACTACTCCATTTCTCAGTGGTCACCAAGGATAATTTTGGTCTACACTGTCAGTGTAAGCCCTGTTGATAAAATGATAGTGTTGTGGACCCCAAAAAAGCACTATTTTATCAATTCTGTGACAATCTGGCAGGGTAAGATTTAAGCCCAGTTAATAGGGATTACATTTCTAGCACTACCATCCTGAAATGTAGAAGATATTTTATCCACATAATGTATTTCTGATGCTTCATAATAACCTGCAAAAATTCAGCTTGTTCTTTGTTCAAGTGTGTCCAAGTTTACCCTGGTAGTTTAGAGACATAGTTAGAAGTAGCATGGGTCTTATCAGGCAGATCTGGGGGTCAATTTCATCTGATTGATATTGGGTAAGTTACTTCATCCATCTATGCCTCCAAGGTCATACTAGTATTTATCTACCTCCCTCAACCTCCCTTGGAATATCTATTATTATCTTAATAATATCTTAGGGCATTTATGGAGAAGGCAATGGCACCCCACTCCAGTACTCTTGCCTGGAAAATCCCATGGATGGAGGAGCCTGGTAGACTGCAGTCCATGGGGTTGCTAAGAGTCAGACACGACTGAGAGACTTCACTTTCACTTTTCACTTTCACACATTGGAGAAGGAAATGGCAACCCACTCCAGTGTTCTTGCCTGGAAATCCCAGGGGTGGAGGAGCCTGGTGGGCTGCCATATATGGGGTCACACAGAGTCGGACAGGACTGAAGTGACTTAGCAATAGCAGGGCATTTATTACCTCAATGCCTAAAACATAGTATGTACTAAATAAACACCTACTACTGTCACTTTGAACTTAAAAGTGGAGAGGTTAAGAGCAGACTCTGGGGCCAGATGGCTTAGATTCAAATTCTAGTTTGCTGGGTCATCTTGAGAAACTTACTTAACCTCTGAGTCAGGTAAATTTTTTAAATAAACATCAAACCAATTAATATGTATAAAGGGCCTAGTAACCAGCACATAGTAAGCACTATTTAAGTGTTTGTTACTGCTAACATGTAGACAATTTCTGGGAAGGAAATAAAAAAGGGAACAGGAATTTGCAAACCAAAAACACAACGAATATCTTGATGTTCAAACAAAACTAACAGCCAGTTATAGCAAAAATAATTCACTGTATGCTGGGGCAAGCATTGGACCCCAAAACCTAAAACCAATGAACCTCCTCAGCAACTGAATAAAAATAGTTGAGTAGGTACTATTAGCATCATATTTAAGCCCATGGGCGCTTGATAGAGACCTAGGTTTCAGTCTGAGCTCCTCTCAATAACTTCAAAGATTTAGAGCCTAGAAGAACTCAAGGATTCCTCATCTGTAAAATGATAACCATACTTCTGTTAGAGGGTTGTTTTGAGGACTAAATAGGGATAGGTAGGTAAGGACAATGATAGATAGGATCCCAGGGCAGACTCCATTAAGAGCACTGCTCTTTGGCCTAATATGAAATAGAATCCTTTCTTTTTTAGGGCTCAATGGTTTATTTAATTTACTCATCCAACAGAAAATCATTGAGAATTTCTTACGTGCCAGGCACTGTGATTCCTGCCTTTGTGGGAGAGACAATCAACAGGTAATAAGGTAACTATTAAAATAATAATAGTAATAATGCAGGCTAAGGCATTTAACTACTGAGAGAGGGTTGGCTCTTTTAGCAAGCATGATCAGAAGGGGAAAGCAATGGGAGGGAGCAGCTTGGCTTCTTGGAGAAACAAGAACCAATGAGGTTGGAGACAGGATACCAGAGACGGATTATGGTGCCAGTGTCCTTGAAGGTAAGGACCAGATTCGCATTTTTGTGTCCCCTGAGACATCAAAGAGCAACGGATTGGGATTCAAGCATATCTGATTACGAGGCCTGGCTCACCTCTGGGCTGTGGGAAAATTACCTAGTATCAGTTAACTATTTTCTACGCGTGTAGGCATGGTTACCGCTGCCAA